CTTCATTTTGAGAGGTGTAGCTATGGACTCCTGTATAGGCTTAGGAGTAGTGGTAGGTAGGTGGTGTGACCTGAAATTGAGAACAGAATATAGCTCTTTTTTTTTTTCTTAGCTTTTCTCAATTAAAAAGAACTGCTTGGTCAGGGCTGCCATCAGGAAACGAGCTCTGTTTCTTTTATTATACAAGCCGGAAACAAGCTCACAAGTCATTGTTGTGTCCCCCCACCGAGAAGGCATCACCCGCCGAACTCAGAAGGGAAGACGCAGTGGCGCCAACGGATCCCAACAAAGTGAAAAACAAAGCTAAATGGGACGGCCGGCTATGTAGCTGGTAACTCCGGGATGGACGTGGAATAAACAAGGGGGAAAAAAAGGGGGAACCGGCAGACTGCTGCCGGGATGGATCTGAGGATGTAGTTTTTATATACTTATGTTCATATTTACGTATTTTATGGGAAACACGAGGGGTTGGAGGTTGAGGTGTAAACCTTGGTTTTGTTGTGTATGGGTGTTTCCTCGAAGATTTGGATAACTATCGGTGGAAATGAAGAGCAGGGGTGCCGTATTACATGGACGGGTTACACAGACACACAGGGGGTGGAAGCTGCCTACAGGAGCGGTTAAACCACGAAGAGGGACCGCACGTAGGGAAAGGGGAGGGGTTAATACGCGATAGTGGACGCAGGAAGGGTTACTTGAGGTCTGGGATATCTAGCAGGTAAGCTTTATGGATCTACGAGTGCGACAGGATAAAACGTGGGAATAAAACGGGCGATAGTACGCGCCGATTTGGATGGTGCTGAGTGACGTTTTTTTTCAAGAACCCGTATCTGATTTTCACCTCCGACAGCATTGGATAGTCTGATGGCGGTAGATCTGAACTTTTGTTGGGTAGTGTCATACGAGGCGAACCCTTTCCGGTTGCACTGATATGCGTCAAAAACGCGGTCTGGTAAAGCGGCGAGATGACACTGGCGGGAAATAGAGCAGAGGCTCTGGCGGGTAAGTAACCTGCAGGTAAGAAACGAGAATACGAAGAGTGCGAAACCATGACGCGGTTTTTTTTGCGGATACGAAAGTTTGGTTTCTCGATTGTGGGAACCTGGCCTGGACGCCAGGGTAGAGGTGAGGGGGAACTTAGATGGAAGAGGAGTGAGCAAGGCGGGAAAAGCATGGAGTACGGAAAAGCAACCATAAGTGTTAGTACTTATAGACTTGGAAGTACGTAGTTTCATCATCATTCCATACCCCCTGATGAGGTTGCCGCTGGCAGCAACCGAAACTAGTCGGGGATGCCAGCCGCTAAGGTCCGATGGTTCTTATCTCCTATCTTTGCGATTCGGGCTGAGGCGGAAGCCATAGCGCTGCTATGGCCAGCTCTTTGCGCGTAACTCTGTTTTTTCGTATAGGAGCTTTTTTATTGGGATGATTTTTTTCCCTCGCACATGCTTAGCCGTGGTAACACGATTGTGTGATCATGAGTCAGATGTCCTGTCTCTCCTTCTCACATCACAAAGCTAAAAAAGATGAAGGCTGTTGTCCAGGAAAAAAAAAAAAAAAAAAAAAGATAAGCAGAATGCCAGAATCAAAACAAGCCACTTTTCTTTGGCACAACAGCCTTCATCTTTTTTTAGCTTTGTTTTTCATTTTGTTGGGACATCCATGAAAATTGGAACAAGAGAGAGAAGATTAGCATGGCCACTGCACAAAACAAAAAAAAAAACAAAAAAAAACAAAAAGGAAATGAAGCCACTATTCTGGCAAAAGGGAAAAAGGAGGAAGGCCAATGCAGAATAGCAAGGCTATATAGTATAGTATATACTATGATGAGACGAGCTACAAAATCTTTCTTTCTTTTCCTTTTTTTTTTTTTTTTTTTTCCCACAACGGGCGGTGGTGTGTACAAAGGGCAGGGATGTATTCAGCGCGAGCTGATGACTCACACTTGCCAGGAATTAACCAGCTACAAAACCAACTACCAAGGACAAGGAAAAAGAGCATGAAGGGGTATGAATGCCCAGCAGGAGCGGGCTGTGTCCGCTACAGCAGCTGCAGTTACAACCAATCGCACCGGCACGGGCAGGAAGGAACAGCCTGCAAGGAGCAGTACTGACACGAAGGAAGAGAGGGCGATGCAGCCTGTCAATCCTACGGGCCTCGCTCCACTACTCTCCACATGCACAAAATACAAATAATATCGAGGTCTTATCTTCCCATGTTCTAGCGGAAGATTCATTATCATTTTGCACATTTGGTGAGAGTATTCCAGCGCCGCCCTATTCTACGAACGCTACCACCTTGAACAAAAAAAAAAGACGGTTCGCCCGAATCTGGACGTATTTGTTGAGAGGTGGTTGTAACTGAAGGACGACGAATGCACAAGAGGAGCAGGTCACATCTGTTTCCACACCTACGAACCGGCCACATCTGTTTCCACATCTGTTTCCACACCTACGAACCGGCCACATCTGTTTCCACACCTAAAAATGCACAGCAGGGCCGAGCTACGCCCGTTAATACAGTTACAACCACCTGTCCACACATACGTCCAGATTCGTGCCAACCGTCCGGCTACTGGAGACTAGGGCGCTGGGACAGAGAGAGAGAGAGAGAGAGAGAGAGGGGGGGGGAGAGAGAGAGAGAGAGAGAGAGAGAGAGAGAGAGAGAGAGAGAGAGAGAGAGAGAGA